TATTAATAAGATTGAACATGAAAATAAAAGAGATAAAGAAAGTGAAAAACTCAAGAGATGTGCTATGTCATTTCTTCGAACGAGTTCTTTCATCGGGCCCATTGGATAGGAGTTATCTTTTTGTAACTGACCAATTGCTTGTTGAATACATGTGAAGATATATACGAGTATAAAATTACAAAAATAAAAAACTAAGCAAAAAAATAAAAAAATCTTAGTCATTGATTAAGGTGTGAAGAGATGTGAGATTAAGATCTATTAGTATTTTGGTCCAATTTTCATATCAGTGTACTTTCTTTAGGTATATTTTTATATTGCCTTGTGTAGCCTTTGGTTTGAATTTCCTTTTGATTCTCTATATATAGGTGTAAGAGGCTATCATAAAGCTAGGAAGGCCAAGAAATAAGATTAGTTTTTTTTTTTAATTTATTTTCATCTCATGAGATACCCTCTCTCTCTCCCTCTCATCCAAGAAAGCACGAGAAGCTCGCCTCCTCAAGAAATCCCAACAAATTGGTATTAGAGACTGGTGGAGGCAATCATGGGGAAGGAGGAGGATGGTGTTCTTGTAATCAAGAAAGGGAGAGGGGAGGTCATGGTAGTCAGGTGGATAGTGGGCTTCCTCACGCATACCAGAGCACACAGTTTGTTAATGGCTCAAAAGAGGGGGGCAAGGCCAGCAGTGCGTGGGTGTATACACATAGTGTAGAACAGAGTCGGACCGCGTTAGCTCGGGGCATGAGGGATCGATAAGTGTGAGATCAAATCGGGCCTGAGGCTGGGTGAGATATCTGAGGACTACGGGTTAGAAGGTGTGTGGGGCACAAGTGCGATCACTTGGGCATGGGAACAAAGCCGGTGCCACAGATTTATGGTCGGGCAAAGGATGTGGTTGCCAGCTTGAGGAGAATGAAGGGAGTTTTCATGACCTAGGATTCGAACTAGGTGAGAGGAACAACTGAGAGGGAGATGAGAATAAGAGAGTAAGACTAAACTGAGCACAAAGGTCTTATATCCTGGGGAAAAATCATGAAATCTAGGGGCTTCTTGTCTGTATTCACAGCTTGAGGAGAATGAAGGGGGTTTTCATGATTTGTGATTTGAACTAGGTGGGAGAAACAACTGGGAGGGAGATGACTGAGCACAAAGGTTTTGCGTCTTGGAGGAAAAAATCATGAAATCAAGGGGCTTATATTATGTATTCCCAACAATTGATATATCTTATCCATTTAATCAGAGGAGAAGATTGCAGAGGTTTTTCTTGTGAAAGAAATTGAAGGTAGGGGTTTATTTTTTTATCATATGGTGACTCTTGGTCCAATGAAGTAGTTCTTATTGGAACTGGGTGGAGCGGTTAGATGTCTGTCTAGATGCAGAAAAGTTGCATGGAGATGTAACTGTGAAGGGACCCCATAGTGTATTCAAGAAAATAAATTGTGACTACAGTAAGGGTCCAGATGGTAGGTTTGCACAGGAAAGAGCGTGCTATGATGCAAGCAGGACTAGAAGAGGCAAGCATGGATAGGCCTGATGCGGGAGCACGTGAGATGGCCCAGGGTTGCGAGAGGTAAGCCGAACGGGAGAAGGCCGCATAAGGGAGAAGATCATGTGAGAGTTTGGGCCAAGCGCATGAGATATGCAGGATCAAAAGTTGAGCTAGGATGTCGAACCAAATATGGTTTTAAGCAAACTGGTGGAGTAGTAGCAAGGGTTTTTTTTTCTTAGTTTAGTATAATTGAACCAAGGTGGAAATTGTTAGTATTTTGGTTCATTTTTTTTTCTTTTTTAGTTATAGGTATACTTTCTTTAGGCATTTCTGTTTGTTGGTTTGTCTATAAATAAGGTATAAGAGGATGTAATTGTGATACTCCAAGCCAAGAAATAAGATTAGTTATCTGGATTTTCATCTCCTGAGATACCCTCGCTCCCCCTCCCTCTCCACTCTCATTCAAAAAAGAAGAAGAAGCTCCCCTCCTTAAGGAACTTTTATTTGGTTCGGTGAATGTACGCTCCTCTACGTTCGGCCACCAATGTTTTAGCGCCACGTATCATGAAGAAAAGTCGCCGACCCGACCCGCTGTATTTCGGGTTCTCGCACGTGCGTTTTTTTAAATCCTTGACGAGCCGAACAACATCCCATCACCTTTTGGATATATTTCAAATACCTAGCAATACCGAGTTGTACCTAGTTTTTTCTAGCAATACCGAGCAAATCCCTAGCAATACCAAGCAAATCTTGAGCAAATACTGAGTTGTACTGAGTTTTTTCTAGCAATACCGAGCAAATACCTAGCAATACCTAGCAAATCCCTAGCAATACCGAGCAAATCCTGAGCAAATACTAAGTTGTACCGAGTTGTACCAAGTTGTTAAAAAACTCGGTACAACTCGGTATTTGCACGGTATTGGTCTTCACAGAGCGATATTTCTCATTTTTGCAAAGCAATACCTAGCAAATACCGAGCAAATACCGAGCAATACCGAGAAAATCGCGAACATAGCATTCCCGGGTTTCGCTCCGGGTCAAGTCGACGGGCCGCGCGGTTAAAGAGTAAGAGCACGTGACGACATGTTATTGGCGGCCGAATGTAGCTCTACGTCCGGTCAGAGGACGTAATAATTGTTCCTCCTTAAGAATCCAAAAATCTCAAGAAAATCAAAAGTTAAAACAATTTTGCTGAGAAAAGCATGGCCGTCTAAAGCATCATTTGGAACGACTTTCTTGCTGCTTCTTAAAGCAGCTTTTTAGTACAAAATTTAAAATTTTTATACTAGAAAGTTGTTTTAAGAAACAATAAAAAAATCGTCTCAAATGAAGCATAAGAGACTTTCTTCAACGATTTTTTTTATTTGCAAAGAAAGCTTTGTTGTGGACTTTTTTAATGGATTTGAAAGTTCTAACATTAGATAAGATTAAAGGGGTATATATTTTAAAACCGGTTATTATAACTCCTTTCTTTCTACCAGCTAAGGCAAGCAATGAGGCAACACAAAATTCCGTGAATTCTCTATCGGCTAGAATTAATACATTTAGCGGCACGCAGCTCACTTTGGTCTGCTGGTTGGGAGCTTTGGTTCTCAATCAAAAGGTTTTGGATTCAAGTCTCGTGTATGCATTGTGTGTGTGAATTTGTCTTAATTGACCTAAATATTTCAAAAAAAAAAAAAAAAAAAACATTTAGCTACTATAAAATCGCAAAGTTAATAAGGCCTGCAAAAGATGTTCGTTGAGGCCCATTAAATCTTCGTGGAGATCATGTGGAGGAATAGCAAGTGTTTTTTCTGCTTCTTCTTAGTTTTATAAAATTGAGGCCCATTTCTATTTTGTTCCTTGAGGTCCATTATCTAACAATTTTTTGCTTATGTTCTTCACTCCTAATCATAAGTATAATTGAATTCACCATGAATAATTTAATCATATTTTATTGGATAAAAACTACATGCATCTTGGTTCTCTATAGCTAAAGTTCTTTGAGCTATTGAACTCTTAGTTGTAAGAAAAAAGAATTATGCATAATTTAAATGTAAACTTATAAATCTTAAGAGTGAACATAACATATCAAAAAATAACAACAAAAAAGTTCAATTACAAAAAAAAAAAAAAAAAAAATCCTCATGATTTACACGATTATGTTGAGAAATTTATATATATGAGTTCATTACATATATACATATAAATAAAGTATAATACATTAGTAGTTGGTTAAAAATAAGCCAATTAAAATGTGTGATTTACTTAAGAATTAAATTATTATTTGGCTTATGTGGTATCTCAATTAAATTTGTATGAAATTAAATCTCTCTGTTGCTATATTACTAACAAGCTGCGAAAGGTTGATAATGTGATTTATATCCAAGGTATGGTAACATGGTAGAATGCTAAATAAGTAATTAATATATATCCTTTGAAGGGTGATTTGATTTGCTGAGAAAAGAACGTATAGTAAAATGAATGTATCGTAAAAAGAATATAGTATTTTTAAGATATTTGAAGTAATTTGAAAGAATGTAAAAGAAATTTAATGTCAAATGATTGTAGTGATCGGCATGCGGATGCGGCATCTTGCCTGAGGCAGGCAGTGGTGGGGAACGATCGGTTATGATTGTGGCTGTGGCGGGTGGAAGACTAGCTAATGATGACGGTGGCCAATAAGAGGTCGTTGGCAATGGTGAGTGGTGGGTGACAGTGGTTAGTTGCAGGCGGCGACAATGAAGCTACCTTGTGGTGAAAAAATGAATTCAACAAAATTAGACAAATTTATAATACATCAAAAATAAACTAAGGACTTGAAAAAGAAAAACACACTGAAAATTTACATTGCATTTCTTTTCTTTTTTTAAACAAATCAAACACCCTTCTCCTTTATTTGGAATACTTTACCTTATTTTTTTTTGCAACCAAAAAGCCGCAAAGTGAAAGGACAATATTTCTAAAAATATAATTTTATTTTATTAATTAACTAAAGCTCGTACTACGCCATTCAATGATATAAAATTTCAAAAATTTTGAAAGTTATGTGAGAAATTAGCAAACTTCCATTGTGAAATACGTGCAAAATATATGTTATTTAAAGTGCATCTTAAATGCTGCACTTAACATATTTATTTGTCTATGATGTTGAATATGTAATAATTAAATTTTGAATAATTGTTCTAATTTAAGAATTTATACAATTGAACCATCTTATCATATTTATTTCCTTATATAAATTTTAATTATATTTATTAAAGTTTAATTAATCTAATAAATCATATCAATTAATAATTTATGAAGCTAATTAACTAATATTGAATTGGATATTCATATTTATAATCAATAATTGGTGAGTTTAATATCCAAATTAATAATTATTTGATTGTTGATTTATAAATAGTATAAATTTATTTAAATTAATGTGTTTAATTGATAATAATTATACAAATAAATTTAAAATTTTGATTAAAATATATCATTTAATTAATGTCAAGTAATAAATAGCTTTAAAATCTGAAACCCTCGTCTATCTTGCAAATCCCCGCCCCATAATTGTCTAAACCTTCGACGCGCACAGGAGCGAGGAAGTCGCGACGGGAGCTCGCCGGAGAAGGCATCGACGGGAACAACTGCGTGCGAAGAAGAAGAGTTCGTGAAGGTTGACTGTTAAAGTTATAGCCACCCAGCGGGATTTACTAAATCCGGGATTCAAGGCAAAACGGAGGAGAAACGGGATTCAAGATTCTATTAAATCCGACTACCAAACAGCCCATTAGTTTTCAGAGAGAGGAGATTTTCCGATGAGTCAAGCTGCCGAAAAACCAGTCATGGGGAAACCTGATGCTCCTCCATCCAGATGCCCTCACTGCGCTGGACCTCTCTCCAAGGACTTGGTAGGCATAGCATCTCTATCACTCTATGTTCATTCGCTCGTCTCTCAAGGCTTTTGCTGTGATAGTTTACTCATGTTTCTTTGAATTTTTAAAGGAAGCGAGTAGTTGGACCGTCGGACCACTAGTCCGAGATAGCTTCTCCATGGTCAGATTCTTATTCATTTCACCCTGTAGCTTTGCCTAGTTTTGCATTTTCATTCACCAAGGAAATCCTTCGTTGTTGATCTCCAATTGATCCCTCACGTTTATAACCTAAAATAATTTTTCTGGTGCTATTGGAATTTTATTCAGAAATTATTGGCTTTTTTCTCCTTTATTGAATATATTATGTTCTTTTGATGACGGGCAGATTGGCAGTGCCGTGGGAGGTACCGCAAGTGCTTTTTATGGATTTAACCATGGTAAGTTTGTAGATTTATCAAATTTTCCTTGTTATGTTGGCTTTGTCTTGAATTGATATATTTTTTTTTCTATAAATCCGAAGTGTAATTGATCTCATTAATAAAAGATCAGAACATGTTGCTTATTGGATTTCAACTTCATCCATTATGAAAAATCATAATTTCCTCATTAACGGACCGTCAAAACCTAATGTTGCTTATTTGATTTCCATATTTTATTTCATGTAAATTCTTGCTTGCTTATATTTGTCGATGATATTTTCACCATTTTTTTATATGAAAGATTTTTTAGTGAACTGTGTTGTTGAAAAAACTCTTTACATTTGGACTTTTTGTGCTTTGGAATAGCAAATATTCTGCAATGCTTTAAAGATAGGGGCTTGAAACTTAATTAGTTTGAAGCTCACACCTTTGGCTTTGATGGTCACCCTTCTCACTTCAGTTTGAAGCGTCAAAAACTCAATATTTTTTGTGCATAAGTATAATGATCGTAATACGTTTCTAGAATCTTTCACCCAATGCTGAATAAAAATACCACTTTCTAATGATAAAGTTTTTTTCTAAATGTTGGAAGATTCGAGTAAGGAAAGAGGAGTCCAAATAGTAGGATAGAAGATTTTAAGTGCAATGACAGGTAGAAGTTGAAAATATTTCTCCTTAAAGAAGCAGCAAGAGGTGAAATTAGGGAAGATAAAGAATAATAAGAAGTAGCAGGGTAGATATTCTAAGCAGGACGACAACCAAAATTCGAAATTTTGACTATGATATCTGTTATTATATAGTCATATACAATGACGGGAAAACCGTGATATGAAGGTAGGGAGGAGCGTCATAATTAGAAATCAACATAATAAAGGCTTGATTGGTTGGAGCAACTATCAAAAAGATGGAAAGTTTGTTCTGATTTGATCAAATTGTATAACCATCAAGATTAAGCTGCTTGCAAATGAATAAAAGATGATTTGAAGATTAAAATAATAAAGATCATTATAAACTGCCACAAAATTTCAAAGAAGATTGCTCCTTCAAGTAAATTGTTCAGGTACAACAGTCCTACAATAGGGATATTAAATAGGGATATTAAAAACAAAGTAGATGATAATCAATATATTTACATTAAGAAAATTAAAGAGTAGCAAGACAAGAAAAAAATGGAGTAGAGAGGAGACCCATTGTAATATATATAAATGTCACAATTATAGAAATACATTTAATTTAGGCTTTTTTTCTATGCTCAAATGATAGAAAGAACAAGAAAATGTAATAAAGAATTTTAACTTAAAAACATGTTTCTGTACAACTCACAATATGATGAATGTCGTACCAATCCAATTACTTAGTGTCAACATTCTTTTTTACACAAAATCCAACAACAAATAATTCATGAATAAACTTTCAAGAATGACTCGATGTAAAATTTAATGAATGTTGGAGGCTAAAGTGAGATATGTAACAAAATCAAATGATAAAGAAAGTTGGAGGATGCGTATCCAGTGATTTGTGTTTTGTTCACACCTTCACCTAGTGAGAAAGTTCACATCTCTGATCATTGTCTCTTAAAAAGCTCCATATCAACATCATATATAAATAAACAATAAAAAATAATGTGAATGGTAAATAATTGATTAAACAATAGCTATCCAATTCAAATTGCATATAATCACTTATCAATTCAAATTTGTCTGACCTTCTTTAGTCGACTACAAACTTGCTTACTATTACTAGAAATATCTGCAAGAAATTACTAAAACTTTACACATATACATGTAAAAATAAGAACTTTAAAAAATATTTAACATATGTCACATTCATTTTCAATACATTATAACAAATAATGCATAATTAAGCTTAATTAAGAAGATGTCAAAATGTCCTAACGGTAGACAACAAATAATCCTATTAGGCAAAAATGTACATTTTCAAAAAATTATCAAATTACCATGGAATATGTAAAACGATGTTTTAAGGCTTTTATTGTATTACACCACTATTTTTAGAGGTCAAAATAAATTTCTAGATAGATAAAAATCGTTGTATTTTCAAAATCACCAAGTAAAAAATATCAAATAAATACTTAAAATGTTCATAATCTCGATCTTTATAACGTACAAAAATTTACGCAGTGAAAGTTTTGTCAATACAAAGTTATTCATGTTTTTTGGTGACGGAAACACAAATTTGATCAGAAAAATATCAAAAAACCGACAGGGGCAAATTCCTGAAGGATTTTCACCGGTGCCCAAAAATTACAAAAAATTCTTGTAAGTAAAGTATTACAATCAAAATATTATGGCGAAGATGGGTTGTGATTTAGAGTTATAAGTATTTCAGAAAAAAATTAACAAAGTCAAAATACAGGTTACTACAACACATTCGACAATTGAACACAAAGAAAGTTATTGAAGTTTGAGTATTATGTTTAATGTTGAAACAAAAATTCATAAATACAAAGAAAATACTCGTAAGCAAGATGAATATGGATTCATTTGAGGCAGATGCAAGTGTTTGTAAAATTAATTGTATGACTATCAAGAGCAAACAATTTCTATTAAATTTGTTGTGGGGGGTTTTTTTTTTTAGAAAAAATCAGACATATTTCTTGTAGCTATGACACATTAATATATTTGGTTATAAAAAAAGTACTTCTCACTATTAAATTCCTAAAAAAATAACTAGAAAGGGACTGTCAAATAGGATTATATTTATTGTTTGGAAAGCAAAGCAATGAGAAAACTGTCTTAAATAAATCCTATATCAACTTTGCTTTTATGATCCTGGATAAAAACCGAAGCAAAAAAAAAAAAAAAGTGTGGATGACAACATAGAAAACTAATGCTAAAGAACTCTTAACAATTCTAAAAAGACAATCCTATCAACTGCAAAATTAGTATGAATATAATACCCTATTTTCAAACTGATAAATTGTTTCGTTCTTGGAATATCTTAAAAAATCATCTCTAAAATTGGTACAAGCATCTTAGTTCAAAAATATTATCCAACCTTAGAAGCATTTGGAACTCTTTCTTGATAGTTAAGATTAGTAAATGTGCTATTATTATCAATTATTGATTGGAAAGGAGGCCCAAATAGATTCAAATAATCAAGATAATGCTAATGATGATCACGAAGGTGATGATAAGTGACTCAAATTTGAGTTAGCCATGAAATTAAATTTCCTTTGTATTATATAGAACTAATTAGGGAATAGAGGAAGAGGAAAAATTGATAGAAAATGGTTTTTAACGCTTGTAGAACTTTCCCCATTCAATCTACAACAAAAACTATGATCCCTACTAATAATTGAAATAAAAAATACATCTGGGAGATGAGATAAGTTGCTTACTAATTTATGTTGTCCACACCAAAAAAGAGTTTAAAAAACCCCCATTGACGCAATCGAACATAACTGGGAGTATAAATTCGCTTAAACAAATTAAAGTGAATAAGTACAATGGAGGAAATTTATAGTTGAAATTACATGTAGAGTAGAAAAGGGAGAATAAGGAATAATGTATAGAAATACAAGCCATAATTGCCTTATATTGCCTCCATACCAAGAAAGCATGCTCCCCTTTCAGTTGAAAAAGGAGAATAAAGAATAGAGAACAAATTTAGGGGGAAGACATTCAAATCATTCTTTCCTTATGTTGTTCAATGTCATGAAAGCCCGCTCCCCTCTCAATCACTAGTCCTCGTAGATTTTCTATTGTGCACAATGAACATAAACAAGACTTGTCCCCTACTGTTCCGTTTGGCAATCCATTACACCTCATCTTCTTTGGTGTAAGATCATGTTGAAGTGCAAGTTGAGCGTTTTTGCCACTCCTGGCCTGTTGAGCTTGTCTTTGCCGATGCCTACGTCCTCACCATGCCAGTTCTTCATCTCTTCCTTGCTTGCTCATGCTCTCCTTCATCCTATCGTATCTCACTTACAACCTTGCTCTTTCCTTTCTCTTGCTTCCTCTTTGGATCTCACTCAGTCCTTGCACCCTTTCCATTGTTAGGTGTTTGCATTATTATTATTATTATTATTTCTGGAGGCCACTATAGGAGCATCAATGCAACGTGAGACATGGCAAATTTGAGATCTTAAAATTTTCATATTCCACATCTCCAACTTTATAGTTAAGCCAAAGATTTGTAAATCAACCCTATTTATTTGATCTAAGTAAAAGGCTTCCGTAAAATATTTTAGATTATTTGATTTCTTAGGCGGTCATTTAATTGCCAAGTGTGACTTAAGCATCTGGGAGTCCTGACCAATTAAAGCTACTTGACTGCATGGACAGCTTTGAGTTTCTTCAAGTCCTCACAGGTGGGATGGTTCACTGCATCTTGACATTACCTGTATTTTGGGATGTTGTTTCCATTATCTTAAAATTTCATGAATTTAAGAGCACATATGCGTTTTATTTAATATTTAAAGTTTTAATGAAGATCTATTGCTTCAAGCTTTCAAATTTAATGTCTCAAAGTATCTCTGGCTGATCGACTTGAATATATTTATTGGCTTTTTGAGGATTCTATATATATTTTTTGTTTCAATCATACTACGGTGAATAATATGTTATCCACATGCTAATGGCACTACTTTCAACGCAGTTATGCCTGTGGTCAGCAGATGGGTGAAGGGTCCCATGTGGATACAATTTCTTGTTGGGGTGAGTATTTCAATTTCTAATGTGTCCCTTTTGTTCCATCTTGTTATTGTATTGTTGTATCTTATTAATTTTTACCATCAACTTTATATTCTACTTCTAGTTTTATCTTACCATAGCAGGTTGTCTAATTAGAAGCATCATAGTTTTTCTTCTAATGCCGGCCTTTCAGTTTAATCAGAAAAGTCTATGCATTGGTTTCCATTGTCTTTTGTATTGAGTTGATGCGCCGGGGTCAATCTTTATATTATTTCCTAGATTATCTTGAACTCATTGTTATACTGGGCGAGTATCACTTTTAAACTTTTTGTTCTTCAAATATCCTGATATTGGCCAGTTATGCATATAAGAGTTCTTGCGTGTTTTTTTTTTTTTTAAGATTCTTTTTGCGTGCTTAGTAACATACCTTTTGATTGTCTTTCTACTTTTTTTATATAAACAATCGTGATATATGAAACAAAATTATCATATTCTCACATTAAAACACTGGTTGCTTCCTCACTTAGTCCTTATGCTTATCAAGTCATTGAGAAAATTTACGTGCAAATTGGTGAATTTCTAAACTTGTTTTTCCATATAAAAAATATTAATTTTCGAAAAGTTAAGCTTTAAAACAAGAACCACACGTAGCCTAAATAATCATTCATGGTTAATAATGTAATTTTTTATTGCTTTTCTCATCTGAATAGTCTTGCTGGTTTTGAACTGTAAATTTGCAATGTTATCACCTTCTACCTTTTTCATACCTCAATTACATTTATCTTGCACCTTCATGGCTTTGGGATTGACCCAAGTTTAACAAAAGCATACCTTTTTTAGAGGTATAAGCTCTGCTATCGAAATTATTTAGTATTGCCATATTTTAGTCGGTGAAAATATCCTTAATGAATGAAATAGTGACCCTTCTACTCTGATATTTTAGCTAAAAACTGTATTAGGTAATCTTTATTCATTTCATAATGTTAAGTAATGATAGATAGCAATATCTACGAAGCTATATATGGTTGTTTAGCTGGAATTTTTTTTTAAATGCTGTTGTATTAGTTATGAGTTATGACTTATTATAATGACTGTTTAAACAGTTAAAAAAAAACTAATCCTGAATGCCCTTTGGACTTGTACTGTTGGAGTGTATCTTAAAATCTTCCTATATTTTATGAACATGAGGAGTTTTTTTGAGGACTTAACGGATTCATTGTGAATGCAATTTTATCTGTTTAATGATGAATGCTTTGTTTTAAAAAACAAAACTTCATTACAATAGTATACTTAAGAATCTCTTTGTCTTCTTTGTTCTTTATTCCATTTTGAAGTCATTTCCTTTCTAAACTATTTTTGTTTGTTTTTGTTTTTGTTTTACCGTAGGAGAGCATCTGTTGCTTGACTGGCTTCTTTACTTATCTCCAACTTGATTTTTCTTCTTTTGTAAAGCTTTTATCTGATGAATATTCATGATTTATCTTAGACTAGGACTCTCAATTTAAGCATAGTTTTTGTTTTTTTGAGGCAACAACGTGAATTTGTTCACAAAATAAAAAGCTATGATGCACAGACACGGACACGATGACATAGATACGGCATAACACGGATACGGGATATGTAAATTATTAAAAATATATGACTCGGACACGGTTTGGACATATTATTATAATTTTTATATTTTAAAAATAGTGTATACAAATTGAATAAGTATAATATTAAACATAATTTAGAAATAATAAATCATTTAACTAGAATTTGTGCTCAAAATGATTAATATTAGGACGTCGAGAATCGGACATTAATGTTGTGTATCAGACATAGAGAGAGGAGATGACAATGCTATCGAGAGTCAGACACTTATGTTGTGCAGCAAGTATTGGGCGTCGATGTCGAGATGACATTTGTCGTCGATGTTGAGAGGGAGTTGGTCGTCGATGTTTAGATGACGTCGGACAAAGATGAGCTGTCAAGTTGTGGATGTAGTAATTGCTAGCATCAAGCATCAATGTCAAAATAGTGTCAAACTTTGATGTCGAGATGGCTTTAAAATGTCGATGTTGTAACGACGTCAAATACTCAAATGTCGATGTTAAGATGAGATCGGACATTATTGTGAAACCAAAGGCGCGACCCGCCAAAGAGAAATTAAAATGAGAATATTTGATCAATGAGATATTGAATGTGGGCGATTGATTTGATGTTGTGGAGAGGAAATAAAAAAATTAATTTTTATATTTTAAATAAAAATTAAATTCAAAAAATTATATTAAAATTTTTTATCAAAAATATTTAAGTCACGCATGTCCAATTTGTATTATTTTTTTAAATAGATATTTTCGGCTTATCCTACACATGTCATAGGTGTGTCAGACGCGTGCCATGTCAGATATGTGTCAAACACTACACGCCATGAGATCGGACATTATTGTGGAACCAAAGGCGCGACCCGCCAAAGAGAAATTAAAATGAAAATATTTGATGAATGAGATATTGAATGCGGGCGATTGATTTGATGTTGTAGAGAGGAAATAAAAAATTTAATTTTTATATTTTAAATAAAAAAAATTAAATACAAAAAATCACATTAAAAAAATTATAAAATATTTAAGTCACGCATGTCCAATTTGTATTATTTTTTTAAATAGATATCTTCGGCTTATCCTACACGTGTCGTAGGTGTGTCAGACGCGTGTCATGTCAGATATGTGTCAAATACTGCACGTCTCTTTGAGAAGTGTTGGTGCATCATAGATAAAAAGTGAAAGAATTTTCTTATACACAATTTATCATGATTTTATGAATTGGTAGGTGATCATGGATAATCAACAATTAGACTGGCTCTAGTGTAGAAAATTTGCCTCTATTTTAAGGTGGTTTAGTACCAAAATACTGTCTAGTGCAGGCATACTTAGTGGAGATCATCATGTTTATGTTGATAAGTTTGACGTTATGATTAAGAATTTCGTTATTATTATTTTTTTTCAGCACACCCTTTGGAAGATAGTAATTTTTTGTTTTATCTTGTGGTTTTGCAAGTATATGTTTCCTTTAGGGAAATTCTATTTGCGTGGAACTATGCTTCTCCAGTTCTCCTGTGTTGTAATTCACGTACAATACCAAGTGCATTTTTTAAAGTGAAAGGAAAAATGTTGTAATAAATTCTGGTGTAGACATATATCCCACATTTCTACTTTCAAGTAGGTGCGGTGAATTAGATAGTTTAAAGTTGTCTATATTTAAAAGTAATTTGAGAATAAAAGGTAATATGGGAATGATAAATAAACTCTATGTTATGTGTTGTATATGGTGAATTCCTGACAATAAAGGCCTAATGTGTCTTATAACTTAAATTTGTGTTACTTTGTTCAGGCTCCACCTGTGATAGTATTCTCCTCTGCCTGTGCTGGACTTGCAGGTATGTAATCGCCTTGTTTTAATTTGTTAGTACTCTTTGCAGTTTGCAACCTTTGGGCTTTGGACAATTTTTTCTGATTTTCTGATTCCCATAAACAAATTTTGCTTTTTTAATAGAACATTGAATAGCAAAGCATGTCATGGTTTCTCAAAGCATTCTTCTTATGATTACTACACGTTTCCTTGTCGTCTAGGATATTTTGGGATCTTTTTTTAACATTTACTAGCCTGTATTTTGACACTCATGAAATCATGTTTTATTTTGTTATGGCATCTGTACTGGCTTGTATGTTTGGTTTCCCAAATCAAATGGTTTTTTTTTTTTCGGCATTCAGTAAAGTTAAACGCTTCATTTACATTAGCTTCAATTCAATTTTGACCTATGTTGCACCGATACAAATACGGCGACATGGATACGACACGATACAGATACGGGACACGTCAATTCTTAAAAATATAGGATACGGTACGACGCGGATACGACATTATAATTTATAAATTATACATAAAAATTAAGAAAACAATCAAAGCATAATATTTAAAATAACAAAAAAAAAGAATGCAATATCATTTGTAGCCTTGTAGCTTATAATATCAAGATAAAAGTAAACATTAAATATTTAAATATCTAGTATAACAACCAAAACATAAGCATAAATTGTCTAGCACATGAAATTTAAACTATTCAATAGAAGGAATGATAGAATTAGTTTCTTTTAGTGAAATTAATACGACTCCTCTTTTTTTGTTTTTTTTTTTCACTTTTTCAACAGACAAGCGTGTTGGATATGCGTATCCTTTTGAAATTAAACAATTTTTTAATTGGATACGGTTAAGCCGTATTCAACACGTATCGGTGCTGTATCGGATGCGTATCCATGTCCGACACGTATTCGATACAACATGCCTTCATAAATAGGTGTATCGGTGCAACATAGATTTTGACTCTTTTTAGCTTAATGACCTGGTCGTGTTTTTTTTAGGATTCCTGGATAAACTATTTGAAATCATATGTATTCGCTAAAATTCTCTCATAATACTGAACGCTATTCACTAAAATTCTCTCATGATATTCATGGTATTCATACTGTGCTCAACTTCATTAATACTTTTGCTTCATTACAGTTCAAAGATCTATTTGAAGTCTACACTTTGAGATCTGATTCATTTATTGATGATACTCATATTTGACATGAATTTAATATTTTCAATATTTGGCAATCCAAACCTCTACATTTTCATGTGTTATCCATCACAGCCTCCTCTAGAAAGCCCGTTTCTTTATTATTCCATTTTTTTTCTCAAAGCAATGTTCTAATCATTATCTTGACCATCATCATTTGCTTTACCTGACTATTTGGGGAATGAATCATTATTCTATATTTGATTGTTATAAATTTTAGGGAGGATGACCCAAAGGAGGCTTGAAGTTGGGCAAGATGTACTTGTCCTCATATTTATTTTAAAGGCGAAAGTTTAAGATTACACCAATATATTTATCAATTATCAAATTTTGAGTTTTAAATCCAAGATTTTCATGTTTTTAACAATCTTTCTATCATGCAAGTGCTCTCCACATTGGCCATTAGAGAATTCAGAAGCTGTCCCTATTGTCTGAATTCATCAATGCATATGCAGGTGGTGCTGTACCAGCTCTGGCGCAGTTGGTTTCTTCATCATGTCATTCATCAATGTCCTCTTCCAGATTTTCTCGTAGTACATCTTCCCAGGATGACAATATGCAAAAATCCAGAAGTTCTTCTACTCTCTAATTTTATTCATCATTTCCTTCATTTGAGAGGTGAAACAGATCACGATCACTATGATTCCTTCTGTTTTCCCTTGAAACCTCTCAGTACTCGTAATATCTTTTGGTTGCATAGTATTATCTGGTTATAATGTTTGCAATGTTATTATTATTTTTTGTTTTCTTATTTGTCTTCACCCTTTCCTTCTTTGTGTCTTTGTAAATGAACTTCTCTCAGTCAAATACAAATGGTATTATGATACTGAATCTTCCACATGGATCTCTATATTAGCTTAGTTCAAAGTTATGGCATTTGTGTTTCAGTATAAGCTTATTGGCTTTAGCTTGTTGCCTAACCTAATGTTTGGATTTGTGTTCAGTAAAGCTTTGAACCCAACAATGCTTCGACTGTCTAAATGATATAATTATTTGTGTTCAGCAAGGCTTCTGGATTTCTGTGTCCAGTCTGGTGATTTAAGCTTCGTTTGGGACAGCTTTTTTATTGCTTTTTAAAACAGTTATTTAGTTAAAAATTTTAATTTTTTGTTCAAAAAGTTGCTTTAAGCAGTAAAAAAGCTGTCCCGTGAGAGAGCTTTCTTATTATTTTTCAAAACTTTTTTAAGTAAAAAAGTTTCTTGAACTAAAAATTTTACACTGGAAAGTTATTTTAAAAAATAATTACAAAATTGTCTTAAATAAAGCTTTGATTATTTGTGTTCAGAAGGGCACATCTGATTTTTGTTTAAATCATTTAGACATTCGAAATAATTAAAATCCTATAATTAAATCATTTAAACATGATGTTTTGATAGGATTTTAATTATTTCGACTGTAAATGATTTAAACAATTTTGATAATTTATCGAATTTGGACAAACAGGAACTTTGAGATTCATTGAAACTAATTGATATATTTATTTTCTCCGAATGCTAAATCGCCCAAACTTTGAATCTTATACCATTTGGATTTAGTTCAATATTGAAGTAAATAGCAAGCCACATGGCAAAAAATTGAATCCCAATTAATGGGCTTTTTATTACGTCCTTTGAGGACCGGATGTACTGGACGTAGCTCTATATTCGGTCAAAGGATTGTTACTGGATTTTTGCTCGGTATTTGGTTGGTATTGCTAGGTATTGTTTGGTAATAACGAGGAATACCGCTCTGTGAAGACTAATACCGAGCAATACCGAGTAATCTCAAAAAATACCGAGTTTTGGGATTGCTCGGTATTGCTTGGTATTACTCGGTATTTTGTCTTCATATAATGATATTTCTTGTTATTGTTGGTATTGCTCGATATTTGCTTGGTATTTCTCGTTTTGTGCTTGCGATCTTAGTGCCGGCCGAACGTAGCTATACGTACGTTCACCGGACATAATAAAAGTTCCAATTAATGTGGATGATAGATTTGTTGAGATAGCAAAATTATTGAAATAATAATGTTAATAACAAATAACGAATAGAGTTTCTTTTTGACAATTATGCAAAGCAATGTTATATAGACTGTTAAATGATGATTGAGATCTTTTGGTTTTTTTAGAACTAAATTTCTTGATATTTAGATATCATTTAAATGCAATTATACCCCTTAAAAAAAGAAGAATTAGGTGGGAACCCTTAAGCGAACAAAATTAGGATAATAAAAGATTTTTGAATAAGAAAATATTTCACACCTTCATATTAACTAAGAAAGCATATGAATCCCAACATAAAAGAAAAGCTATAAGAGATTGAAAAATATACATTATAAATTAAAATATCAATATTGAGAAAGCTCGTACAGGAGGTATTGTTCAAGCAATCATCAACGTATGATCCACTCTAAAAATTAAAAAAAAAAAAAAAAAAAAATTTTTCTGTCATGATTTTCTCTTTTTAAAATCAAATAAATAAGAATGGCTAAAAGAAGATTCTAAAGAGAGCGAAAACTACAAATGAAGAACTTATGCACCTAAAAAAGTTTTCTAGACACAAAGACAATTACCTATAGAATCATAATATAATAAGAATATTTATTTGTAATCTAAGGCTACGTTTGGGACGGCTTTTAATTGTTTTCTAAAATAATTTTTTTTATAAAAACTTTTTAAACTAAAACATTTTGTACTAAAAAACTGCTTAAGAAAACAGTCTCCAACAAAACCTAAATCATCATGATCAGACTGCTACTTCTAGAAATCCATTTGATTTACTCTCTAGTTTTAACCATTTCTACCCCCACTCCAATTATCTTCTATTTCCTTATCATTTTACTTTGTATCTTTAATATTATTGTATGTTCTACTCTTGTAGATACAAAATTATAATTTTTTTTCTAATTAAGGAGATTTTGGTGTCATCTCTATCCCCATCCTCCTCCAATTTCTCACTAGTATAAATAGTTAACTTTCAATAATTATTAACTTAGCCCAAAAAGTCAGTTGAGCAACATAACAGCATCAATCAGTATAAATTTGTTTAACAATCATTTCAAATATAATCTATTATAGTAGAGGAGAGGCCCAATCATTTCAAATTTATTGTATCATCTCAATTTAACAGCAACAAAAGTGTAATGTTTTACACAAGGAGAGCATATGTATTATCAGTTACTTGTTTTCCTCTCTTTATCAGGATTGTTGATATATTGCCACTTCATCATCAAGATAAGCACTCATCATAGTATCCACTTCCTTGAATTCCATCTCATATGATCATGTTCAATGTGGAATTGTATTTATTAGTAGCCAATTCCTCCTCTACTCCATCTCAATCTTTGGATCAAAACTTCCCATCCAATCCCTAGCTACAATTATGCAACAACCTCTATCCTTCTGATAATGATCTTTTACTCGTCTTTGTATTAATACTGAGCAATTTCATTGTAATGGTAGATTGAAATGAATTACATCGTTGCTTCTTCCTCTTGAGTTTTATTTTCTCTATTTTTATTACTATTGAACTATATAATGATATCAGAGCAAGCTTCTGATGTTTGAGATCACGAATTTTATCAATGTACAACTAACCATTAACAACCATCCCATATGATGCTCTCAATTCTATAAATTGCAATAGGGGAGCTACCATTGGCTTCTCTCATCAATGAAAATCCTTCTACAACCTAAATAATATATAGTATCCTTCCCCAATTATCACAAATCAAAGATATCAATACTATATTTCAATTATAGATGATTTCTCTCATTTTTACTTGGTTTATCCTATGAAGTTTAAATAAAAAGCAACCACCAAATTCATAGATTTCAAAAATATGACAAAAAATCAACATAAAACATCCATTAAAATACTTAAACTCAGATGATGATGGCAAATACGCAAATAAAGACCTTATGAATCTCCTATGCCAACTGGGTTTTGTTCAACAATATAATTGTCCATACACGCCTGAAAAAAATGATATAACCGAACACAAACATATACATATAATTAAAACCATCTTAACACTAATGATCGATGCAAGTTTAACACAGTTTTTGGGTAAACACCCTCATAAGCTCATGTTTACCTTATAAATAGACTACTATCTCCCAACATCTATCATATCTCAATGTACCAACTCCCATATAATAAGCCTCCTACATGTACTCACTTAAAAGCCTTTGATTGTTTATGTTACTCATGATTTCAACCTCAATCTCCACACAAACTTGCAGTAAGATTCACTTCATGTGCCTTCCTTAGCCATGCCACAAACTATAAGGAATAAAAATGTCATGAACCCAACTCCTAGAAAATGTATATTTCACGCCATGCAAATTTCATGAATATGTATACCCTTTTCGAACTGTTAAATAAGAGCTCCCATACATTTAGCAAATACTCCTCCCCTCACTCTCGTTTTGGTGTACAGTTGGGTTTATGAGCTACTACACAGTTGGCTCAAATATGATGACCTACTACACAAAAATTACAATAAAAATTCATATGAGCTAACCTTCCAGCTTCATGGATACTCAAAAACTAAATCACTTTCCATCTGTGACATAAAACTAGTTCCATGTCAATGATTTCCTAGTCTCTCCTCCCACCAACATTATCTTGGATTTCATGCAAGTAAGATTGACCTGTCCCTACTTATCCAAGGCAACAACCGCTCATATATACCAGTCTACGTAGATGACATATTACTTACTGTAAATAACTCATCCACCATCCACAAACTGCTCAACAAACTCCAATAACATTAAATATGAAAAAACTTGATTCCATTTCCCTTTTATTTAATATTTAAGTCCATCAAACATTAATTAGATTTGATTCAAGTCTGGAAAAATATTTTATTGAAGCACTCATAGGGCAGGGATAAACAATTGCAAATATATCAATAATCCTATCTTGCCTAGCACCGACATTCCTACAATAATATTTTTAGATCCCACCCTGTATCATCACTTAGCTGACTCACTATAACACCAAATAATAACAAGACCTGACATATCCTTTGCTGTCAATTGCATTTGCCAATATGTTCAATATTAATTTATAGCTTCCAAAATGATTCCTCGGATATAATTATTATGTCTTCCTAGGCAACACATAAATCCCCTTATATGCCAAGAAACAAAAAAATATTGTTAGGTCCTTCACAGAGGTAGAAGTTCGAGCCCTCGCTACAGCTGCCACAAACACATAAGATTACTTCATCTACTTATAGAATTACATGTCTCATGTTAATATTTAGTCGAGTTTTAGGTTCGAGTTGTTCTGCAAGACACCACACCAATGTCCATGTCTATATATAATTCATAGGTTGATGTAATGTGTCATCCCGATAGAACAAATAAATAAAGATTTGTGAGCTCTCTTCCTCTTTATCTGATATATTGCCACTTCATCATCAAGATAAGCACTCATCATAGTATCCACTTCCTTGAATTCCATCTCATATGATCATGTTCAATGTGGAATTGTATTTATTAGTAGCCAATTCCTCCTCTACTCCATCTCAATCTTTGGATCAAAACTTCCCATCCAATCCCTAGCTACAATTATGCAACAACCTCTATCCTTCTGATAATGATCTTTTACTCGTCTTTGTATTAATACTGAGCAATTTCATTGTAATGGTAGATTGAAATGAATTACATCGTTGCTTCTTCCTCTTGAGTTTTATTTTCTCTATTTTTATTACTATCGAACTATATAATGATATCATAGCATGTTTTTTATGTCTGACATCACGAATTTTATCAATCTACAACTAACCATTGACAACCATCCCATATGGCGTTCTCAATTCTACAAATTATTCAAAGTAAATGATTTTGATGATATAATGATTCCTCCACTCCAAAATGGAGCAAACAACTCATCACTGAGGAAGACACCATCACTCCCAACCTCATTTCAATATCTAGATGCTCATTGATCAAAACCTCACAATTGCTCTATATTCCATTATTTCATTGTCTCTACTACCTTATGTTCACACCCAAGATTCCTGTATTAAGATTTGGACAACAATTGAATCAAGAATTCAATCCAAAAATCACTCACACAATTTTCAATTGAACAATGAACTTAACCATATAACTATATAGGATAAAATATTGACCCTATAACTCTCCAATATTAAGTCCAAAGTAGATATTATCACTGCTGTTGGGTCTCCTCTTGACCCCAAATATATTATCAATGACCCTATAACTCCCGAGATATTAAAACAATGTCAAGGTGCAAAGCTAGGATGGTTGCTCAAGACTACAAGTAAGAACATGTGATATATTACCAGTAAACTATCAACCCCATCATTAAAATGTCTACTATTCATGTTCTACTTACAGTTGGCTCAATTATGATGACCTACTACACAAAAATTACAATAAATATTCATATGAGCTAATCTTATGTATACCTTCTTAAGAAAGCCATTTGTGACATAAAACAAGTTACATGTCAATGGTTTGCTAGTTCTCTGGTCCCACCTACATTATCTTGGATTTTATATAAGATTGACATATCCCTACTTATCTAAGCAACAACCGCTCATATATATATATAAAAAAAAATGAAAAAAAATTATTAAAACCAAAAAAGGAGTACAGGAAGCAATGTAGCAAAATGACAGCAAAACAAAAGAGAATACAAGGTAGAATCAATTCCAAAGCTAAGCTCAGACCATCCAATTTGGTGAAGATATACGCGAAGTAGCCAACCCAAACGACCAGCCATCCAACCGAGCAAGAGACCACCACCAAAGGTGACATATTGCTTACGTAAATAACTCATCCACCATCCACAAACTCCTCAACAATCTCCAAAAACATTAAATATGAAAAAATCTTGATTCCATTTCCTATTTATTTAATATTTAAGTCCATCAAACATTAATTAGATACGATTCAAGTCTGGCAGAATATTTTATTGAAGTACTCAATAGAGCAAGGATAAACAATTGCAAATATATCAATGATCCTATCTCGCCTAGCACCAACATTCCTACAATAATATTTTTGGATGCCACCCTGTATCATCACTTAGCTGGCTCATTATAACACCAAATAATAACAAGATCTGACATATCCTTTGTTGTCAATTGCATTTGTCAATATGCTCAATATTCATTTATAGCTTCCAAAATGATTACTTGGATACAGTTATTATGCCTTCCTAGTCAACACATAAATCCTCTTATATGTCAAGAAAGAAACAAATATGGGTAGGTCCTTCCCAGAAGTAGAAGAACCAGCCCTCGCTACGATTGCCACAAACACATAAGATTACATCATCTACTTAACAGAATTCCATGTCTCCTGCTAATATTGGTCTAGTTTTTTGTTAGAATTGTTCTGCAAGACACCATATCAGTGTCAATGTCCATATATAGTTCATAGGTTGATGTAAGGTGTCATCCCGACAGAACAAATCAATAAAGATTTGTAAGCTCTCTTCCTCTCCATCTCCATTATCCCTCTCTTCTTTCTATAGCTATTCTTATAACAACCAAGAAGTGATCTTCCCTCCAAGTATTTTCACATCTCCACTAATCAACATACTATACTTAGCTTCAACAATAACACCGCTCTCACTCTCACACATAATTCGGTGTTTCGTGCAAAATTCAAAAACATTGAAATCGACAATCACTTCATACGTAATTACATCAAATCACATGATGTCCTTATTCATCATATAGCAACCCAAGATCAAACTGTTTATGTGTTCACTGAAAGTATTACGAGTTACTTCACGACCTTAAGAAACAAGTTGACCATTAAGGAATGAATTGACAACTTAAGGGGAGATGACAGGCTCTTAAATAAGAATAACCACCAACCATATTGGCCACTACCTGGAGCACCATCTCAAATAATCATGTCACTTGTGCAATTCTATCTAACAGTAACCACTTCCTCCTATAGTCCATCTAAACTGTTAGGTAAAAACTTTCCATGTCAACTTAGCCGCAGTTATGTAACAACTTATGTTCTTATAACAGTAATCTTTTCTTCATCTTTGCATTAATACTAACCGAGCACTGTTTCACTATAATAATTGATTGGCATGAATTACATAATTACATCTTTCTACTGAGTTTTATCATCTCTGCTTTCCTTTCCTTGGTAGCCATCCGCCATCACCTTCAATAGGGATAAAACAAAGTGGCCTTATCCAAACAGAAGACTGGGCAGTCTGGGCAAAACAAAACCACCAAATTCAACACTACATAATATTTTCAGGTGGGTTACGGCTGCCTACAATGTCGATGAAACGATTGATGGATGTCCTGTATTCCTCCTCTGCCTGCATCGCTGTTTGTGTTTTAATCATGCTATTTCACTGGAATCGAAGCATATTGAAAATTGAACTATTCAAATCCTAGTAATACATTCCTAATATTCCTTCTGATGCTGCATAATCTTCTAGATATCACTAAGACCCAAAAACATCACCACAATTCCTCTACTACTACCATTACAATTTTTTTTTATAGTAGCATGACTTTTATAGTTATCATATTCTAACAGAAGCATCTTTCTACAACCAAATTTTTTGAAAAATAACAAGAATATTATAACCAAACAAAAGTGTAACAGTAATGAACTAATACAACAACAATAACATCAAGCTTTTTCCCACTAAGTGGGGTCGGCTACATGAATCCTTTTTCGTCATTGTGTCCTGTTAAAGTGAAATTCTCATTTAAATCTAATAAAGAAAGATCATTTCTAATATTTTATAATCAAGTATTTTTAGATCTACCTCTTCCTTTCTTAACATTAAGTCAAATCTAATACCTCTATTTTACTAATCAGGTCATCGGAAGGCCTCCATTTAATGTGACCAAACCATCTACGAGCTCGACTGTCGAGCTCGACTCGAGCTCGAGCTCGAGTTCGAGCTCGCTTTCTATCTAACGAGCCGAGCTCAATAAGGGCCAAAACTCGACTCGACTCGACTCGTTTACACCCCTAACTGGAGCTACTCCAACCTTTTCACGATAATTAACTAATAATTAAATTAAATCAACAAAAAAGCTAACCCAATCCCACCCTAAGATTGGATTTTTACATATTTATTCAATTGAAAATTGAGAAAACAATCCATTTACAGGGAAAAGAAGAAAAAACTAAAATGAGAAAAGCACTATTATGGTTTCTTGACATTAACTACTAGCAAAACTTTTATCAATGAACTGCATTTCGATAAGTTTACATTACGCCAATTTTAAGCGTCACATTCCAGTTATCATGAAGAATGTTCAAATAGCTTCTTAGCCTAAAAAGCAAGGCTCACTGCATTGAAATGACTATAGATGAGGCAGTAGCATCAATAGTTGCAACCTCAGCTCCCCCAGGAATCATTGTCCAACTTGCTTTAAATGCTCTAACTTGAGATTAATTATTTTGTGCCGACGCTGAACGGCGTCTGGAGACCAACCAGAATATGACACATCACCCATTCGCTCGGAATTGCGGCTCGATACTGCTGACATGGTGCATTCTGGTTGGTCTCCAGACGGCGTTCTGCGTCCGGTCTCCGCACAGAATAATTTCTTATAATTTGAACGTGGGCATCTGCATGACAAGAAAAGGGTTGAAAATTTGCAGTCGATGGCTACACATTCCTACTGAAGCTGCAACTTCCCTATTTTTAAGTTCATTTCCTTCAATTCTATCTAAGCAAAGCTTCAATCAGAAGTCTTAAAACATCAATAGAGTATTAGAGTTGTATATGATTCTCAGGACCGAATGATTCACACGAAAATCAGACATACCAGTTTGGACCTCAATGATGAACTGACCTTATTACAGTTAAAAGTAAGAAAAATAGAAGAAAAATAAATTCACCTATATGCTCCTCGAACAAATGAGTTGTATATTTAACCAAAAGGGCCATTCGGGTGATGCCACAAACCTACGTCAAAATGTTTTAATGAAGATATCAGAACTTGAACATATTCTTGCGAACTTTCGGCACCAGGCGGCATGTCAACGAAACCCTTGTGGAAGTTCGGTTAAAGCAATGTTCTTGCGTTTTTCCATTAGTTGTAAGATGGCTTTCCTTCCACTCTTCTAATTTCATGCACTCAGAAACATTTATAACCTGCAGCAAATGAAAATAAGAGAAAAAAATAAAGAGGAAAACAAGGGAAAAACAAAAAAACCGAATAAGTCAAAAAAAAAAAAAAAAGAGCTATATCTTTCTTAATCTACAACATTTGGGAGTGAATTATTACATTGTCTAGACTGTGCACAGTGGAATCCTGTATGCCGTGAAGGTAATCTGTAATAATGAACACTAAAGAAGTTAATATAATTAAGGAATCCAGCAAAAAGTTCAAAAGGCAATCGAGGAACAACACTACTCACCTGAGTAAGCCTGGTCTTTGAATACCAATAGGCTGCATGGCATCAACAGTAGAGAGCATTGATCATCTTTCAAACTGAATGAGGACTCATTCAAAAATCCATCCATAGCAACTTCGGATGTTTGTCCTGAGGTACTTAGACCTTCACTACTTAATCTCTCCCTCTCACTACATTCTCTCCATTTTGGGTGTGGAGTGAAATCAATCACAACAGGTGCTTGAAGGGACAAGATTGAAACGACAGGAAAGTAGGCTGGACCATCCTGGTGTGGCTACAAATGTAGACATTTCAGCAAAAAAATATTAGTGCTGTTGGATATCACAAAAAAGTTCTAACAGCCTAAACTCTTAACCATCAAGATATTATCCGCTTAACCCTAAAGCTTCATAATTTTGTCTTATTAGTGCAATTTGTGAGGAGGTCTCCATCCTAGGAGTACTCCATACAAGCACACTTAACTTTAGAGTTTCTAATAAAATTTCAACCATTATACCAGCATCAATATTTAAGAGTTTAGCTTTATTTTCTTAAGGGGTTTCACGATCTTGCCCACTTAAGATAAAAGATAACTGACACCTCGTCAGTTTCCTTAGCTCAGAATCATCCATCAGGCAGATAGGATTCTAACGGTAGAGAGTTCCTATCTTCTGGTAGACATATTTTCTGATAATATTTGTAACAGTCTAAACTCTTAACCAATAAGATATTGTCTGCTTAGGCTTAAATGGCCTCATGGTTTTGTCTTGTTAATGTAATTTCCCAGAAGGTCACACATCCCAAGAGTGATCCCATACAAGCACTCTTAACTTAGGAGTTTCTAATAAAACTCCAAGTCTCCCACCAATACATTAAAATGTGTCTCGATATTTAAGAATTTAGATTCATTTTCGTAAGAGGTTTCACAAGAGTGGACACTGAGATTTTACAAACACTTCAAATACTGACCATTATGCCCTGATCGGGCAAATATTCATTTATAAGAACATGGTTGATAGATGATGGGAATAATGATGTATAATCACAAATTCTCTTAGTAATCTTTACAAGCCAAGGAGGCACTGCAAAACCAAAAAGAAATATGCAGAGAAAAGCACCATTATTATTATATTAATCAAAATCTGAAGCACCTTAAATATTTAAGCATCAGAATAAAAATCATTATGGCTTACAACATTCAGATTTCATTCCTGAATCGATTTTAATTTAATCTATCATATAAAAAGATAAACTCTTTCAACTGATTCTTTTGGCAAGTGGGATCCCAATTGAATGCCCTATGAATTATTAGCTATACAAGTCAAAGATTTGATGCATCAGCATCGGTCTTATAAATAATAATTTTAGTAGTTGTAATTGACTCTTCGATTCCCTCTGAAGCTGTGACATCACCAACCCACTTCAACTGAGCAATATAATTACACAATGTTAATCTTCCTGAATATTCTAACTGTGTATTGCCAGTTTATTCATAAGAAAGTACCTAATCACCCAACATTTCCCAATAGCTTTCCTTTTACCCTTCAACTTGTCGGCATTGCCACCAATTACCTCTCCTTTCAGCACCAATTCATCAAAACTTAGGCTGCATATTGTGCAACTTTTCTGTTAGCTTTTTAGAAAGCATATAAATTTGATGCGAAAATGTTCATAGAAAATCCCTCTTTTGCATGCGCATCTTCTCTATGACTATGAATAGATGAGCTGATATATGGAGCAAATTAAAAATCTATGCGAGTGTATCTGATTTTATTTGATATAATAGCAAAAGCAAGCCTAAGTACCCCAAATAAATTAAATAGATTGCTTACCTCTTTTTCTACGTAATTTTGGCAATAAGACCATTAAATTTCATATATATAATACTACAGTATAAAATAAAGAGAGATGCATGAATAGGCGAACTTGATCTGCCAAATTGCCTAGTTCAACCATATACTCCTATCATTGTCATGCCAGAAGTAATTGCAGCAAACCATTGAAAAGCATAATGAGCAAATCTTATGATAATAAAAATCTAAGCTTCAGATTTACAAACCTAATAGAGCTAGACATTGATGCGAATGCTGAAAATGGATTTTCTAAATCAATGGGAGCCATCATTTTCAAGTTCAATCATTCTCAGAAGAATCATCAAAACCCCTACAATCCTAGATTCAATCTTTCAATTCAGATCAACCTCACGAACAAAGCATTCGTTTGCTAAAAGAATTTTATAAATCCTCTGGCCATTTGGTTGGTTAAGAAATAATTCCAAAATAAAGGCAAGTCATACCAAAACCTTTGGGGTGCTCCTTGTTAGCACACATGATATGCAAGCCATACTGTGGACCACCGACCTCCACCATCTCTGCATTCTGCCACTGCTCCACTCTCTGCACTTGCGACATGCTCCTAATTGAAGCTCAGAAATCTCCAACAAACTTGTCTCCTACACTTCTATCTATCTCTCAAAGGATTGTAACTACACCGATATATGAAAAAATGTTTATTGTTACAGAAACCAATTCATCTCGTTGCTTCTCGTTTCTGTGATTTATCCACTTCACTATCTATGCATTTCTACATGGTATCAGAGCTTTAAAGCATCATTGCTGCTTTAGTTTTTCGTCTTCAATGGCAGATCAAGTTTCTTCCTCAAGTGCTCCCCCAACCTCGTCACTTTCTTCTTCCATGGCAGATTTCACCACTCTCTCCACTCAAATTTCTCATGTCAAATCTTAAGCTCTTTGTTAATCTTCAGCTTAACAATGATAACCACTCAATTTGGATACTTCAAATCTACAAAAAGTTCTCTACAACTGGATTTGAAGGGTACTTAACTGGCAAACAGATTTGTCCTCCTGAATTATTGATATCTTCCTCCACCAGTGAAACCTCTACCAACTCTGATTACCATCTCTAGCAACTTATCAACCAGAATCTGGTCTCAGCATTATTCTCCACCATATCTCCTTCGATTCTGTCACACATTATTAACCTCACAACTGCTCACAAAATCCGGAGTACCCTGGAAATATGACTTCAACCCACCAATAGATCTCGAGTCATTTGGCTCAAGAATGAACTACATCACATCCAAATTGAAGATGTCAATCTTTGAGGGGGAAGATGCGCACGGGTGGATCTACAAAGTTGAAAGATATTTCACCATCAATGGGTTGATGGAGGAGGAGAGATTGACGGCAGCAAGCCTATGTTTGGAAGGGAAAGCTTTGGCTTGGTACCAATGGAGGGACATATGACGACCCAAATGGAGTTGGAGGGAATTCAAGGATTGTTTGATAGAACGTTTATGAACCGGAAGGGGAGGAGACTTCTACGAGCAGTTATTTGCCTTGACGCAGGATGGTTCAATGATAGAGTATCGAGAGAGGTTCGAGTACCTTGCTAGCCAATTGGACCGCCTTTTTTTGAGACAATGCTAGAGGAAAACTTCATGAAGGAATTGACACCAGAGATCCGGGTAGAGGTTAGAGTAATGAGGCCTTGTGACTTGGGAAAGTCCATGGAGCTAGCTCAATTGGTAGAAGATCAGAGGCAGCTGGAGAGAGAGACAGAAGGCAGCAGCTCAGGAGGCCTGTACAGGATGACCACCACCTTATTAAAATCCAAGGAGCCAACATCGGATACTCTTCGGGGGACTTTGAAGGAAAATGCTGCAGGAGGAAGACCTGGTGACAACTTCAAGAAGCTCACAGAGACAGAATTACAGGAGAAAAGGGCGAAGGGGCTCTGTTTCAAATGTGACGAGAGATATACGCCAGAGCACTGGTATAAGGACCGAACTCTTTAGGTTCTCACCATTTGTGATGAAGAAGGAATGGAGGAGGGTGTCATCTTTCCACCTTGCGGACAAAGTGGGTCTTTGAGAGGGGAGTATTGTTAGACTGGTCCATACGGGACCAGCTCACAAAGATAAGAGGCGGAACTCTTCCGCCTCCAGTACACGGGATCCGACCTCCCTCTTTCTACAGGGCCATTTAGGAAGGATTTAGAAGGAAGTTTAGTAGGGAAATTGAATGTAGGGACTGTTTAGATATTTTCTTTTGAATTGTATGCATTAAAAAATTTGTTTAACTAGGGTTAGAGCGTCTTGAATTTAGCTGAAATTTGATATCTCTTAGGTTTAAGTTTCCTTTGGGCTCTGGCGGCGTCTAGAGAATTTGGGAGAGATCAATCCTCCTCTTGAATTGAGGATCAACTGTATCATGCTATTTTTCGTTTATATTTCATCAAATAATACAAAATATCTACTATTTTCCTATTTTTGTGTGGATTTTTGTGGAAGATTTTCGCTGTTTTCTAAAGATTGATAGGAATTACTTGAGATCTTCAAGTGTTTCCTATCAACTTCTCAATCATGCCTGTAAGCTACATAAAGCCATGTACAGTCTTAAACAAGCTCCAAGACAACGGTTTACCAAATTCACCTCATTTCTTCTCAACTTTGGCTTCAATTTCAGCAAATCTGATCCCTCTTTACTTAACGTTTCAAATACAAACATTCAAATGTACCTAATAATGTATGTGGGTGACCTTCTAATCACTAGAAATCATCAAACAACAATCCAACAGCTCATCTTCAAGCTCCAAACAATCTTCTCGCTCAAAGACCTCGGTCCAGTTTTTTCTATTTCAAGGTTTGTCACACTCCACAAGGCTATTTCTTAAATCAAACACAGTATTCTCATGACCTGCTCAACTCATCCAGCTTCGCAACATGCAAACCATCTCTCACACCAATGTCCCTCAAGCCATCTCAATGCTAGCAAGCTGATCATCCATTCAGCGATCCAACTCTATACCATCGTCTAGCAGGCTCCTTACAGTATCTCACCATTACAAGACCAGACATTGCGTTTGCCACAAATCAGATATGCCAACATATGCACAATCCAACAAATCAACACTATCAATCCCTCAAGAGGCTTATTCTGGTACATTCATGGCACAATTAAATATGATCTTTCCATTTTCTCTAGTGATCTTCAACTCCACACGTATTCTGATGTGGACTAGGCGGCTGATACATCCGATAGAATATCTACTGTTGGATTCTGCACCTTTCTAGGTAACAACCTAATCTCTTGGAGCGTCAAAAAGCAGGTCACCATAGCAAAATCATACTCTGAAGCAGAATACCTAGCTCTAGCCTCTGCAACATCAGATGTCATCTGGCTTCGACGTCTGCTGGGGGAATTCCAAGTTCACAAACAATTGAAAACAATCTCTACCATGACAATACATCAGCAATGTTACTTGCACATAATCTGGTCTTCCATGTCATGACTAAACACATAGAAATCGACTATCATTTTATAAATCAACATGTCAAGTCAAATGAAATTGCAATGCTTCATATCAACTCGGTAGATCAGCGAACAACATACTTACCAAACCTCTTTCCACCCAGAATTCTCCAACCAACTTTTCTCGTACACTTCTATATATCTCTCAAAGGATAGTAACTAAACTGATATATGAAAATATGTTTACTGTTACAGAAATCCCTTCATCTCTTTGCTTCTCATTTCTGTGATTTATCCACTTCACTATCTATGCATTTCAACACTTGTTCACCATAAAGTGTCTGCAGTTGATAAAAGATAACTTTTAGCTGGTGCACTTCTTTTCTATCCCATCTTTTGCAAGACAATGCAGCTAATTATTCTCAGAAAATTTCTTTGGAAAGAAATGAATTTCTACCAATGCAGCAAATTGCTTTGTCATGGCAATTATATGGGCTCATACTGTGTTATCCTTTTTGAAATCTTGTGGTTCATATCTCAAACTTCATATGGTATCTAAATGCTCGTGTCTAAAATAACAATTTATAACTTTCATATTTAAGATATATTGGACTGTTTTCCCAACCAAAAATAAAAAAGAATCAGCACTTGCATGATAAGACATTCAACAATCATCCATCCCCCATGCACCTGATGTATCATATTAAAGCTTGTGGATTCATCAGCATGCCGTGGACCCAATGCCAAAATGTTTGGTGTGAGAACCTAATGTACAATTTCACAAACACCTGGTGTACATACTTTATTTCCACACAACAGAACAATAGCCATAAGAAGGAACCTTAGCAATCGGAAATTACGCCAAAAATTAAAGTCATATATGAAGTATATATATGATGGGGAAAGGAACAAAATCAGCTCGACTCACATTCTTGTGGCAAAAGTCCCTTCTCGTGTACCACCCCTCCTGCCAAAATAAGACGATAAAGATCTCACCTTTTATTTCAATGACAACAATTCAAATTCAGAAACAAGAACATGAAAGAAGATGAGCTCGCACCCCAGTTCTGCAGTCTGCGTTTCTTCAGATTCTTCCATCTTGTGGCGGAAACTTCATAAATCTGGAGAACCAATCGGCATAACTTTTAAAAGACATCCATAAACCAAATCGATAAGAAATAGGAAAAACATACATGGTGAAGAAGCTCGGATTGTTCAGCTTCAGTTATGAAATTGGGAATATAGATTATCGTTGGCAGCGAGCCCACAACGTAGTCCTCAACTGGACTATATCGCTGTTCCATGCTTTCACAAGCCGGCTATTAGGGTTGACACAAAGGGTCTTTAATAAATTGGCTAAAGATTTCTTATTCTATTATTCTTAAATGGGTGAAGGTTCAGATTCGATCCTGAAATGCTAAAAGTTTGATTTGGCTCTTGATTCCGGTTGTTCAGGTAGCAGGAATCAGTCGTGTTGGAACAAATGTTAACCCAAAGCCCTAATTCATTGGGGACTCTTTTTATCTCTCTCTCTCTCTTCTTTGTTTCTCTCTCAAACTCCCACAATACAAACCATTTTATCATTGTCAATGCCTTTGCCATAAGTATGATGATGATGATGAGTGAATTATCAAAAATTTGGCAGTTAGTGATTAATGTGAAACTCGGTGACAATAATATTAAGGGAGAAATTATTACGCGCGGACATCGAACTTATTAGCTACGCGTTGAGTAAGTATTATTACGCATTACTAGGTATTAATATGTATTTAGTTGTGTGTTAGTAAGTACACAGTAATACACATCAATATACAATAATATTTTATTGTGTATTGATGTGTATTAGATGTGTTTTGTTGTGTACTTGCTATACATATCAGTATATAGTTAAATACATATTAATACATAGTAATACATAATAATACACTAGTCCACACTTCATATTTTCATTGGAGTTCGGACGCAGCTCTACTTCGGGCATTCGCATGTAATAATTTCTAATGTGGAGGAGGCTCCCATCCACACTCGTGATTCCAAACTCACCTTTTTTGCTCTCCTTTTTTTCAAGCCTTGCTTGATTTATACCTCTCTCTCTTCATATCTTCATCTAAGAAATTATTTCAAACTTAAAAAACAGAATTGATCCAATCTCTGGATAATCAATTTTATTTTGAATCCAATTTAAAGAGTCATAAGATTGATTGACCAAAGTGGATTTGATCCAAAATGTACTCAATGTTGATTTGATGATATCTTTCAAGTAAAGAATATATAAATTGTATTTCTTACTAATATCTTTATTTCACTTAGAGCTAGCTAATATTTATGCTAGATTATCTAAAATAAAAATAAATAAATAAAATGTTAATAAGAAGTTAGAATTGGTCTCTAATATTCAAAATAATAGATCTATATGAAATTTAGAAAGTTTGGATTAAAAAAAGTTTGATAATGATTATTGCATACTAGTAGTTGAGTTGATAGAGAGAAGGAATTTATTATCTTAGCATTGAATAATGATACATACATATCATATAAATGAAAAGAAAGGAGTAAACAAGATTTTTATGTAAAAATTTTATAAGATTTAGTCTAGTCAATTTTTTTTTTCAATAGTAAGGAAGTTACAATCGGTCATTTTTCCCTAAAATTTTTAGAAGGTTTTAACACCATGCAATGATTTAGAATATAGAAAAGTCCTTTATTAGACAATCTTAAAACTTTTTTTTTTTCATTTATATTTATCTCGTTATTTGTATATTTTCCCACTTTAATCATTTATCTTCACATTACTAGTTTTCTTAAAATTAAAATTTTCATCAATTTTTTAATTATTTTAAAATCTCTAAATTCTCTTTTATAAAAAAATTATATAATTAAAGCCAATAAATTACAGTACTAAAGAAAGATTACAATATTTAAATTTAAATCAAGTAGCTTAAAAATATGATAATTATATTTTTTTATATATTTATTGCTCGTTATAAAATATTTTTAAATTATCTTTCTATTTAAATTAGATATGAAAATCTTAAGTTAGATATTTAAAAAAAATTAAAACCCTAATGTCAATTTCAAGCTCGAATGAAAAGCTTGACGGTTAGGGTTTTAATTTTCTTACAGAAAAATTGTGCTAGAATATCCTAAAAGTTTAGAATGACTTAAAAATTATTGGATTTATTTTTAAATTTGTGCAATACAAATTCTTCATAATAGTATGAATATCTATCAACTCAATTTTGAATTTCACTATCATTCATAAATTTATAGTATGAAAAATTATGCCAATTAGAATCTATTACTAAATTTTGAGGGAATTATTTTCTTTTTTTATCTAAAATACATCATAATATTTCTTATTTTTATAAAAACTAAATGCACCAAATTATGCCAAGCTCTTATCAAAAAATGAGTTGATGACCATGTGCCCCAGGTCTCTTGTTTGTATCCTCTTATTCTAATGCTCTTAGAATCTCAAGTATTATAGATTTTGGTTTTCCAATTAAGGGAATTAGATAGAATGAGAGGATAGAGAAAATATAAATTCATATTTCGAGACTGCGGAGTGATTTTTGTTCATCGGGTCAGTTGAAAGAATTGTTCATCTCATTGTAAGGAACCTTAATTAATTACCCTATTTCTGATTTTAAAGATTTTGTGTTTTTGATATTTTCTGATCAAATTTGTATTTTCGTTATTAAAAAATATGAATAACTTTGTATTGACAAAACTTTCACCGTAAAACTTTTTGTATGTTATAGAGATCATGATTATGAATATTTTGAGTATTTATTTGAAATTTTTTACTGTGTGATTTTAAAAATACAATAATTTTTGTCTATTTCAAAATTTATTTTGATATCTAAAAATAGTTGTGCAGTACAATAAAAGTCTTAAAATATTATTTTACATAATCCCTGGTAATTTGATAATTTTATAAAAATATATATTTTTGTCTAATTGATTTTTTTGTTGTCTACTATTATAACATTTTGATATCTTCTTAATTATGTTTATTTATACATTATTTGTTTTAATGCATTAAAAATGGATGTGAATATGAGCTTGAATAACAGTTTGTCACTATTACTGTTATAATATTGTGATAATAATATGCGTGTGTGAAACAAACAAGTAAAGTCTAGTTGACCCGTTGGTTTGAGACTAATTGACCTGATACATCATCACAAAATTAGCTTGATCAGGCACGAATCTCGAGGCAAAAACTAGTTGGAGACTTCAAACTATGGTTTGATATTATCTTATATTAATTCACGTGATACACTTATTGAGAGTTATAAGGAAATCATTACTATGCCAACGTGCAAAGAGTTACAACTCTATTTACCGAGCTAACGATTTACTAACACTGAAAACTATCGTGATAGCTAGAACTTCTACTTGTTTAGCATGATAATTGAAATACATATTTTTGAGGTATTATTCTTATTATTGTAAAAATTTACTATTATCACATTATTTTATTACTCCTGCCACTTTATTATTACTATTATAGATATTGATACTACTGATTCACTGTATATATTGATATTGAGCATATGATATATTGAGCATGTGATTTACATAATTTATTGAGCATGTGATTGAGATATTGAGCTTGATAATGAGATATGATTTAATGTTGATATGTAATAACTAGATAGCATGTGAACACTATTATATGATTTTACTTAGGGGCGGAGCCAAGATTTTTTTCTTGTGGGGGCACAAATCATTGAAGTAAAAAAAAAAAAACCCTTAACCTTTTTCATCCAGGCTTGGGACCGACATAGGCGGTTTTATTTTTTTTTTTAAATCATTAGATTCATTAAAAAGAAAGATACAATATATGATAAAGCAAAATTAAAAGAAACTTACAATTGAGAACAATAAATCTTGAGATTCTTCTTATCTATCATCTATAATTTCTCCCGCCTAGTCTTCATTTTTTGAAATCGTTGTACAATCAATTCATTGTCAACACTATTAAATATATCTTTTTCAATATAAGTAAGTAAACAATCATTCATCCAAGAGTCTCCCATACGATTGCGTAAACGATTCTTTATAATGTTCATTGCAGAAAATGCCCGTTCAACTGTTGCTGTAGCAATTGGCAATATCAAAGCAAGTTTTATAAGTAAGAACACCAAAGGAAAAATATCATTCTTTCTAGTCTCCACCATTTTCTGAGCAAGTTCTCCAAGTCCTTTTAAATTCATAAATGCATCATTCGATCTCATATCAATAATAAAACTTTCAATTTGATTGTCTAGTATGATAAGATCCAATTCTGAAAAATCTGACGGATAAAATTTTGCAAGGAGAATCAATCGTTTTTTATCAAAAGCTGAAAATTGACTGATATGGATTTAAACATGCCACACACATAAGTAATTCTGTATTAATTTCATCAAACCGGTTGTTGAGTTCTTGAAGTTGCATATCTATAACAGTGTAAAACAATTCGATTTGATAATGATGCTTATTTGTTTTACTTTCAGTACGACGTCTTGATCTTCCTTGCATCACAAATGTGTCAATCATGTTTGGAATATTTATGTTATTCTTCTCACAAAATAATACAACTTCTTTTAACAAATTATCCCAACCATCAGTTCTCTAATTTTGAAGTCTTTGTTTAGAAACTTTTACCAAAGTCATAGCATTTATAATATCTTGATCCTTTCTTTGCAGCACTTAGGATAACTCATTTGTAACTCCTAATATGAGCTTCATCATATGCAAATTGAAAATAAATTCAAAAGTTTGCATAGATTCAAGTAGAGAATACGCTTCGCTTATACTATTCTAAAACCCTTCGTGTCAAAACTGTCACTGCTAGCTTGTTCACTATTTTGGAATCTATACAGATAATAGAACAAACAATAAGATGCATCTTCTCTTATACTATATTCTAAC